AAAATCTTACAGATCACCGTCCCAGACAACAGCCCTCTGTGCAATCAGGAAGAAGTCTAGTCACCGGAACCAGAGCAGGAAGCAAAAAATAGCGAGAAGGGAAGTAGCTGCTTTTTTAAAGGGAGAGAGACCACACCCCAATGGGCTGGTATCTCAGCGGCTATTGGCTAGAGGAGCGGAAGGACCTCCCGCAACAATTCCTATCCATGTGACTTTGCCTATGTAGGGGAAAAAGTTAGGAACTGACAACATGTGCCCATACATCACTGTAGTTCACATACAATGGAATGTATTCAGACTCTCTTATGCTCAACATTCAGTGTTAGATAAAAGAACATTCTACACATACATAAATTCTACACATACATAAATACACACCTTGAGACACTCATGTATTCACATTCAATTACACAGTCACATAGGCATGCAGTCATAAACACATAAGAGTAGGTGCCAGGTCCTGCTAAGTATCTATTCCTTTATATCAAAAGCTCCACACATATGGCTAGGAATCTTGTCTGGCTCGGTACTAAGATTTCTATAGTAACAGCTGCACATTCACACTCACTCACACACACACATATACACACACATACACTACTAGGCAACATGTCCAAAGGACCCATAGTACTTCAAAAAACTGTCAGAAATCCAAGAAATAAATTCCTATTGTCAAAGGCGTCATACATGTCTATGTGTCAGTTCATTCTCAATAACACCTCCGCTCAAGCAAAGGTACACAAACAAATGCCTAGCTAGGGGTAACATTATACTGGGTATACCCTTTGCTACAGAAAATGCCATACTTATACCCAGGGATGGTATTAGGTCATCTTAGGTGTCCACAGTTTTTCAACAAACACCGATGAAGACATATGTTGCGTGAGGTCCTTCCGCTCCTCCAGCCTATACCCTCTGAGATACCAGCCCATTGGGGTGTGGTCTCTCTCCCTTTAAAAAAGCGGCTACTAGCCGGGCAATGGTGGCGCACGCCTTTAATCCCAGCACTTGAGAGGCAGAGACAGGCGGATCTCTGTGAGTTCGAGACCAGCCTGGTCTACAGAGCTAGTTCCAGGACAGGCTCCAAAGCCACAGAGAAACCCTGTCTCGAAAAACCAAAAAACCAAAAAAAAAAAAAAAAAGTGGCTTCTTCCCTTCTCGCCCCTTTTTGCTTCCTGCTCAGTTTCTGGCAACTAGACTCCTTCTTGATTGCACGAGGGCTGTTGTCTGGGACGGTTATCTGTAAGATTTTTCCTCTTTAAATAAATATCACCCTATTAATCATAATTCCAAACTGGTGTTGCATTGTTTGCAACTTAAGCCTTCAGACATACACACACACACGTACACACACTAGTATATGCTATATCAGTTCCTGACTTTTCCTATCCAGAGCATACACAACATGCATACACATATTGCAAAGGGCAAATCGTTTGTTCCCAGATGCTTATCTGCAAAATAACCACATAGTAACTGTATTGATTAAAACACTAGTTGGCCCATTAGCTATAGCTTCTTATTGGCTAACACTTATATCTTAATTTAACCCATCTCCATTAATCTGTGCATCATCATGAGGTCATGGCCTGCCAGCAAAATATCAGCACTCTATTTCCAGTGGTGGCTCCATGACTTCTCCTGACTCTGCCTTCTTACTCCCAGAATTCAGTCCAGTTTTCTCCACCTACCAAAGTTCTGCCCTATCAACAGGCCAAGGCAAGTTCTTTATTCATTAATGGTAATCACAACACACACACACACACACACACACACACACACACAAACACACTAGTATATGCTATATCAGTTCCTGACATTTTCCTACTCAGAGGCAGAACCTCACAGAAAACCTGGAATGAAATCAGATTCAGATAGTTATAGCCTACCCTACACAAACACACCAAGGAGAGAGAGAGAGAGAGAGAGAGAGAGAGAGAGAGAGAGAGAGAGAAGGGTAGAAACAAAAGAACTTGAGACCAGAAGATAGGAAGATAGGTATCAGGTTCAATATGTATTCCTCCCCCATAGTCACACTATATCCTGGTGCCAGGTTCTGATACATTTCCCATTTCTTACAACCAACGCCTCACAAAGTCTAGGTGTCATTTTTATACAATGTAACCCCACCCTTACAAGCACAACTCACTATGCACGGTTTGGTGTGATATACTGCACAGAATCCTCTTCTATCGCCACACATGAGTAGTTGTAGGTCATTTGAGGTATACCCTGCCTAACAAGTAAATCACCCATAAATACACACACACACACAGCACAATTACAACCAAAACATCACAAATATTGGCACTGCATATCTGTGTGTCTGGCTCTTCATGTAAATTCCTCTCTGTAGGTAAAAATTCACAAAATGTGACTACTATTTGAGTGGTCTGCTTGGCACAATCTCACGCACAACTCACATCCCTACCACACAACTTGATGTGAAATATTATTAGGTGTCCTTTCTCCTGTAGCCAAAGCCTTGTACACAAACATGGCTGTGTCAGGGTCACCACATATTTCCTCTCAAGTATCCAAAGCTCCCAAACCACATGAAGTTATGTTTCCCCTACTGCTAATTACACCTCCACTACAGCAAAAGTCCCACTTACACATACAGATCAAATTATCCAGCCTTGCCAGGCAGTGGTGGTGCATGGCTTTAATCCCAGCACTCGGGAGGCAGAGGCAGGCGGATCTCTGTGAGTTCGAGTCCAGCCTGATCTACAAAGGGAGTTCCAGGACACGCTCCAAAGCTACAGAGAAATCCTGTCTTGAAAAACCAAAAAAAGAAAAAGAAAAGCGAATTATCCAGCATTGCTAGGTAGCTCTTCACCTCCATGTTTTTACTCGCATCTGAAGAATGGAAGCTAAGAACAGTATATGTAAAGAACTTTCAGCATTTCTCTTTCTTGATCTGGACTCACTCACCCAACATAAACTCCTCCTAATCCATGCTTTTTCCTAGGAAGGTGGCTCACTAACAAAAAGGGTTAATGTGCTGAGCATCTGAAAGTAGGCTTGTGACTTTGCAGTGGATGACCAGTTAAAGGACACATTTTCATTTCTAATATGGGAGATCCCAGTCCACTGTGAGAGACTCTACTCCTTCAAGACAGTCCTTAGTTGTATAACAAAGTTGAGTAATCCCTAAAGAGCAAGGCAGTAGCCAAATTTGCTCTTTTCTGCCTCAGCTCCTGTTTGAGTTATGATAAAACTTCCCTGAGTGACAAACATTGATCAGAACATGTAAGCCAAATAAACTCTTTCTTCCCCACATTGTTTTCGTCATGATGTCAATCAGCAAGAGAACACATAGTAGGTCAGTATCCCAAGAGCATCCTCAATCTTAGGATCTTATTGCTGCCACCTCCTGAGTGTTGGGATGAAGGTATATACTACAGTACTAACTAGAATAGAACTTTGAAGATGAGATAGATCCATGGAGACAATAAATCAGTCTGTAGGCAAATAGAATTCTGTATCAGGATATTATTGAGGAAAATGATCATAGTAAGTATTTACAAGAAGATGAACTTGAGAGACTTTAGAGAAAAGAACTAGTTGCAGGTTGCACAGGAATACTGAGGAAATGTACAAAATGTATCCAGGTTGAGGACTAGTTCACACAGTGTATGAAGCTGCGAAATTTAGGGGGCATATTCGATCTACTCTAGAAAATCCAGGTACAGCCTGATTGACTGCTCTCTTCTAGGACCATTTTGCTTTTATGGGACCCAAAATGTTATCTCTGTTTGTCAAAACCTCTTTCGAGTGGGGAATAGGCCACTCGACTTTTTTTCTACTACCAGGCTAATCAGGAGCCCATGTCTGGTTTCTGAGCCACCTAGTACTCTGTTCATCACTCTTTTGTCTAGAGTCTGTGCTCACTGTGAAATGCAGGCCTCTTCCCAGAACACTGTGGACCATTCTAGGTTGACTAAAGTCCTCTTCCATGTCCTCAGTAGCCTGTCTTATGTTCTCTCAAAATTTACATTTTGAGAGTCGCATGTCACACATAATAAAGTCATCTTTATTTGCAGCAGTTAGTTTTTGGGAAAATACTTAAATTTCATTATGGAAGCTATGGGCTTTTTAACCTCTATCTTCTTCATATGATTTATTTGTCAACTTTTTTGTTAGAATTGCCTCTCTGTTCTTGAGTAATGAACTCAGTTTGAACATGAACATGGCCTTCTTCATGCGTTATTGAACTTGCTGGAAAATTTGGATTTCTCTCAATAAGGATTGAACATAAACTGTTGATTTACATTTTCTGTTTATTATACATTTAAAGACATTTTGTTTTATTTATTTGTTTTCATGTGTGTGTATTAATCTTTCTGTGCCACAGCACACACACACATATATGTAAGAGGAAAACTTGTGGGTCAAAGTCAGTGCTGTTTTTTTTTTTTGATTATGTGAGATAAAGGGAGGAAAGCTCAAGTCATCATGTCTGTTGTAGGCTCCTGCATGCTGTGTAGAACATGTTGGAAAGGGTCTCCTTCCTTTCTCCTTATCGAATAATTGGATCAATATTAGTGTTAATTCTTTTTAAAAGTCAGGTAGACTCCATACATGAATACATTCATGCTAGTTGTTCATTTGATTGACAGTTCATCATCGAAAATCTCATATACAATGTACTTTTATCAAATTTCCCGTTACACAATTCCCCCTGAACCCTCCCTTCTTCCCCTCCCATCCAGAGTTATACTAGAGTCATACACTCTTTCTATTAAAAAAATCAAAAGATAAAATAAGCAGTTGAGACCTATGAAAAGTTCCACCCACAAAGTAAAAGAACCCACAGTCTGCCACATTTTTATTGAGTTTATTTTATGTTTGTCGATGTTTCCCGTACATAGTGCTGCCAAGAGGAGTGGTTAAGATACATAGTGAGAATCCATTGAAAGAAACTATTTCTTCCTTTGACAGCAGGAAATGATTACAGATGTGTCCTTGCTTGGGGATGGAACCCTATTTTCACTTACCTTTTTCAATGAGCGAACTCCCATCTGACTTGAACCTTGTATGCATTGCTGCAGTCTCTGTGGGTTCATGTTCATCAGTTTCCTTGTTTCCTTGGAATCATCTATACCTCTGGCCCTTAGTATCTTTCTGCATCCTCTTCTGACTAGCTCCCTGAAACTTGAGGGAAAGTTTTCATGAAGCCTTCATACATGGACTGAGTATCACAAAACCTCACACACCCTCTACATTGTTTGCGAATGTCTGTGTTAATTCCGTCTTCCACAAAAACAGGGTTCACTGTGTGGGTTGTTTGAGACATTGATCTCTTTGTGTCGTAGTCTGTCATCAAAAGTAATTTTGTTCACTGTATCCCTGTAGCAGAATAATAGTCATAGGTTTTCTCATAGCCCATGACCTATCCACAGAGTTTCTTCTTCATGTGAGCAGTATCAGTAATGGTGTCTATCTCCTGGAGTGGCCTTAAATCCAATCAAAAGTGGCGGATTATTGCCACAGTGCTTGTACCACTATTACGTCAGTCCATTTTGCAAGTGGGACCCTGTTGTCCTTAAGTTACAGCTGGGTTGTTGATGACTATCTTTCTCCTTCAGCAAAACAGTGAGTACACTTCTGTATCATGAATATCAGTCAGTAGGGGTGAAGCTTCATGAATGTATGACAGCAATAGTACAGGGCAATAAAGTTGCATATTAGCAATAGACTTGGCAGTAGAGGTGAGAATTGGGGCTTTCATAGGGGCCCATTTTCTTTCTTTTCTTTTTTTTTAATTGAGAAAAGAAAAAAAAACCAATTTCCTCCTCCTCCCAGCCTCCCATTTCCCTCCCCCTCCTCCCACCCTTCTCCCCCTCCCCCCACTCCTCTCCCCCTCCCTGTCCAGCCCAAAGAGCAGTCAGATTTCCCTGCCCTGTGGTAAGTCCTAGGTCCTCCCCCCTCCGTGCATTTCTAGGAAGGTGAACATCCAAACTGGCTAGGCTCCCACAAAGCCAGCACATTACGTAGGTTCAAAACCCCGTGTCATTGTCCTTGGGTTCTCATCAGCCCTCATTGTTCGCCGTGCTCAGGGAGTCCAGTTTTATCCCATGCTTTTTCCGTCACAGTTCAGCTGGCCTTGGTGAGCTCCCAATAGATCAGCTCCACTGTCTCAGTGGGTGGGTGCTCCCCTCGTGGTCCGGACTTCTTTGCTCATGTTCTCCCTCCTTCTGCTCCTCATCGGGACCTTGGGAGCTCAGTCCAGTGCTCCAGTGTGGGTCTCTGTCTCTGTCTCCATCCATCAACAGATGAAGGTTCTATGATGATATACAAGATATTCGTCATTATTGCTCTAGGATAGGGTCAATTCAGGTTCCCCATCCTCAGCTGCCCAAGGAACTAACTGGGGACCTCGGCTTGGGTATCTGGGAGCCACTCTAGGTTCAAGTCTCTTGCCAACCCTAAGGTGGCTCCCTTAACTAAGAACCGTGCTTCCGTGCTCCCCCATCCAACCTTCCTTCATCCCAATCCTCCCCCTTCCCCAAGCTCCGCCCATTCTCCCCCTCTCCCCCCTCTCTCCCCATCTCCCCTTACCCCCATCCCACCACACCCCCAAGATCTCAATTTTCTCCCCGGCAATTTTGTCTTCTTCCCATAGCCCAAGAGGACAACTATATGCTTTTCCTTTGGTTCACCTTCTTACTTAGCCTCTTTGGGATCACCAAGTGTAGACTCCGTGACCCTTGTTTGTGGCTAGAAACCAATTATGAGTGAGTACATCCCATGTTCATCTTTTTCGGTCTGGGATACCTCACTCAGGATAGTGTTATCTATTTCCATCCATTTGCATGCAAAATTTGAGAAGTCATTGTTTTTTAACGCAGCATAGTACTCTAATGTGTAGATATTCCACACTTTCTTCATCCATTCTTCCATTGAAGGGCATCTAGGTTGTTTCCAGGTTCTGGCTATTACAAATAATACTGCTATGAACATAGTTGAACAAATGCTCTTGTCATGTGATAGGGCATCTCTTGGGTATATTCCCAGGAGTGGTATTGCTGGGTCCAGGGGTAAGTTGATCCCGAATTTCCTGAGAACCCGAAACACCGATTTCCAAAGTGGTTGCACAAGATTACATTCCCACCAGCAATGGATGAGGGTTCCCCTTCCTCCACAGCCTCTCCAGCAAAGGCTATCATTGGAGTTTTTTATTTTAGCCATTCTGACAGGTGTAAGATGATATCTCAAAGTTGTTTTGATTTGCATTTCCCTGATTGCTAAGGAGGTTGAGCATGACCTTAAGTGTCTTTTGGCCATTTGAACTTCCTCTGCTGAGAATTCTCTGTTCAGTTCAGTGCCACATTTTTTAATTGGGTTAATTAGCATTTTAAAGTCTAGTTTCCTGAGTTCTCTATATATTTTGGAGATCAGACCTTTGTCTGTTGCGGGGTTGGTAAAGATCTTCTCCCAGTCAGTAGGTTGCCTATTTGTCTTGGTGACAGTGTCCTTTGCTTTACAGAAGCTTCTCAGTTTTAGTAGGTCCCATTTATTCAATGTTGCCCTTAAAGTCTGTGCTGTTGGGGTTACACATAGGAAGCAATCTCCTGTGCCCATCTCCTGTAGGGTACTTCCCACTTTCTCTTCTATCAGGTTCACTGTGTTCTGACTGATAGTGAGGTCTTTAATCCATTTGGACTTGAGTTTTGTGCATGGTGATAGATATGGGTCTATTTTCATTCTTCTACAGGTTGACATCCAGTTATGCCAGCACCATTTGTTAAAAATGCTTTCTTTCTTCCATTGTATACTTTTGGCTCCTTTATCAAAAATGAGGTGTTCATAGGTTTGTGGATTAAAATCCGGGTCTTCTATACGATTCCATTGGTCAACTTCTCTGTTTTTATGCCAGTACCACACTGTTTTCATCACTGTAGCTCTGTAATAGAGTTTGAAATCAGGGATGGTAATGCCTCCAGACAATCCTTTATTGTATAGGATTGTTTTGGCTATCCTGGGTTTTTTGTTTTTCCATATAAAGTTGATTATTGCCCTCTCAAGATCTGTGAAGAATTTTTGGGACCCTTATGGGGATTGCATTGAATCTATAAATTGCCTTTGGTAGAATTGCCATTTTCATTTTCTGCTATGAAAATGATAGAACACAATTTTGTCACTGGACCCAAATTTTTTTCTTGCAATTTTTAAATTGCAATTTAATTGAATGTTGAACTATGATTCTCATTATTGATCTGTTTAGGTTTGGTATATTACACATATTTCGAAATTTGCCTTTTCCTAATAGATAGGTTAGTCATTGATTCTTTTCTATACTTAAGGTAACATTTTCCTCCTTCTTGATATCAGAGTTTAGTTTTAAGTTGATTGCATGTACACAGTCTTATAGAATCATATTATACTGGGTTTGATTGATATGCCTGGGAGGCCTGCCTTTCCTGAGGAGAGATGGTGGTAAAGTAAATCTGGGAAAGAGAGGTGAGAGCAAAGGGGAAGAGAGGGAAAATTAGGGTCAGAGGGAATATATGAGATAAGAATAAATATTTAACATGACTATTAAAAAAAGAAAGATAAAAGTACTAGTAAACTTAAGGAATTTGAATTATCAATGGGTTGACATTATTGACTCCTTAACAGCCTTTTTGTTTTATCTCTATGTAGAAAACAGAGAAACCTTGGGACATTGGCTTCAAACGTTTTATGTTAACAGGAAACATCACACCTGTTACACCTGCCCTTAAAGAACATGGGTACTTGGTGGGGAGGGGCAGTATAAAACAATGTAAATTGAATAATCATGTATAAAATTGTTAAAGAATATTAAAAGATGAAAATTAAAATTTGAATTAAGTTGAAAATAGGCACATGGTTTAAATTATATCATCAATGCCATAGATATCTGAAAAAATATTTTATCAATTAGTTTGCATGAAAGCAAGTGGCTAACACAGAATGATATTCCACATTAAAGACCACTTTTCAGTATCAAAAAGAATGATATCATCATATTCACCAAAGAAGCTCAGAGAAAATATAAAATCTTGTAACTGAAAACTAGACAAATTTGATGGCACAGACTGTTAAAGAATTATTGGTAATGGAAATATTTTTATAAGAAATTTCAATTCTTTCCCTCAGCATAAAGTAGCATTTGTATATTACATATCATAATTCATACGGTTCGCTCTGATTTAGTTATATCTTCAGGGATGTTGATCCGCAAGTTACTATTTGTAGTCTATAATTTCCTAAGTGTCTCTGATTCTATAATTTCCATTGTTCCAGCTAATGGAAAGAAGCAAAATTCTTCTCAAGAATTGTAAAGTAATGGTTTTGTTTTCATAAAATTATTAATAAATTTTGCCTTCAGAAATGTTTACAAAATAGATATGTTATCATCTACATAGCAAAATAAAATCTCTGATTAGTGAATAATAAAAATTTTTCCAAATGATTCTTTAGTCATCACCATTTTATTTTATTGAAATTTATAGAGCTCTACATATTTCTCTGCTCCCCTCTCCCCTTCAACCTTCCCCTCAGGTCCAAAGCCAAGAAAACTAGCCTACAGACCATAATCCCAAAGAACTTTGACAACAATGAGGACACTAAGAGACACTGACATAGATCTAATCTACATGGAAAGTAGAAAGTGGAAAAAGACAAGATCTCATGAGTAAATTGGGAGCAGTTGTAGCCATTTTTGCTGTAACAGGACCGAATGTGGCTAAAGACTTCAACAGTATTTTCTCCTACTTGATCAGTTTTGGTAAGGTTGCATTAAAAAAAAAAATAAAAAACCGAGAAAAAAAACGAGGAAAGTCAGTAAGGAAAAGAGTGGTTTGATATAGTTGTGTTTAGTGCTGCTTTAATTTTAGGCTATTAATGACCAGGGTCGGTATAACAAGGCATGAGTAGTTGACAATGTAAGGTTAGAGTTTATACAGCAAAGGCTTTTACATAGACCGAAACACTGCTCTTAAGGAAAGATCTGCATGCACTCAATAGATGGATGCTGGATTTTGAAAAGAGCCTGACTTTTCGTTATAGATTATTAT